TGTGTAATGAAGAACCAACAAGATTGCATCTCGCCATGCATACACTCTAAATGTGCAGTATAACGTATAGTAAAAGCTTGTTAAACGTGACATCTGAACAGCATTGTAAAATGAAATTTGTCTCTCTGCAAATGAAAGCCTGGTTAGGGGCATGTAGAACATGTGCCATAAAGCGAATGTGAGTACATTGCAACTACAATGAAAATGTCATGTATGTTGTAATACCATGCATGAGTTATTCTTACAAACTTTTATACTTGAAAACTTTACACCTACAGCTTGTTACGTACGCAGAATAGAAGACAAAGGTTCTCATCTTGCTAATGTTGCTAGATGACTGCAAGTGTAACAAAATCCCCAGTCTCAATGGATGAAACCTGACTTTGGGAACGACAGCCAACTGATGGGCAGTTCTGTCACTGTGAATTTTCAGTATGGCAGATTAGGCACCCTACTTTTGTAGGCAGGCGGCAAGTCTTTCCCAACCAGGAAAACGATGCGGACATTTGCATGTAAATCCGCACATAAAATCCTCAGACCATTACGAAAGTGACGCCGGCACCCAGCCGACATGGGCTGCGAAGATTATATGACAGGAGCTCGTAAATTTCCGGCCGTTTCGCCGCCGCAGCAGATTCGAAGCGATCGCCGAGCAGGTGCCTGGTGAGGATTCCAATTTCCTGCCAGCCATTAGGAGCGACGATGTAGCTGTTCCACCTCGTTACTGTGCTGATGAAGTGCCCCGCAGTTAGAACCTTTTCAGAGCCCGGCACATCAATATCCGGAAAAACTGCCGCCGAGGCATCTTATACGGGATTCTACTTCTGTCCGAAAACTCGGCCACCCAAGAAAAGAGACATTTCTCCAATGATCTGCAATGTTGCTCCTTTCATCATCATTGTATGTGTTAATAGACGTGTTACAGTAGCTAGAAGCTGCTGCTCATATAACAATGGTTTTAAAAAAGTTTCTCTTTTTTTATTATTCAACTTCTGTCTGCACACTCAGCTAGCTGAGAAAAGAGACATTTCCCTGGTTGTTGCAGTTAAGGATCTGCAGTGTTGCTGCTTTCATCATCGTTGTATGCATTATATATGTACAGAAGCTGCTGCTTATGTACATTGGTATGTAACAATGGTTAAGCAAATGTCTCTTTAGTCTTAAAGACAAAAACTGTCAGCAATGAATCCATTTCTCAGTCAGAAATTACCTTGCTTATTAAATGAATCAATGATTTTTGCCCTGCCACTTTACAATAATAAATCCAAGATCATATCTGTTTCTTACAAATCCCAAGAACATCATATTCTTGCCATCCTTTTCCTTTTCAACTCATCAATCACTTTCTGTCCCTCTTTGAAATTTTCCTTGTGTTTACAACAAAAATATCTATTATATTCCCCCATCAAATTCTCAAAATGCAACATGACTGGTGACCAGTGTCTGCATACCAATTGCTGATGGCTGCACTGCGGCAACCAATTTTCATTTGCCTGGAGTCCACAAATTTGTCAAGCCTACCTTACCGTCGGTGAAATTGAGGTGCCAGTATTCATTGTGAAACAATCCCGGCATACTGATCAACTGTAACACGGTACCAAGTAACTTCTAATCTTACGTACTTAGGAAAATTCCTCAAAAGGAGTACATATAATCAAGATGGCTGGCCAAGTCCTGAAAACCCAATGTTTCTTAATGAAAGATTAAGCTAAGCCCATATAGAGTACGTAGCCTTTTCTTGGACTCAAATTTCATCAGCGTGCTACGTGTATATAAGCTGGTTTCCATTTACAACATCAAAAGCTAAGCTGGCTGAGAAGAATCTGTCAAATGGCCTTTTCATACTTTCACAAGATTACTCTACCATGTTGGTCTGAATTTTGTACTTTGATATACAGTTGTACTGCCAGCCTTGCAGCTTGGAATTCATTCTGACATACCGGTAATCTCTTTCCTGTTAGCCATAGAACGATTTTTAAATTCTACATGTAGAAGGATTTCTTTAATAAGAAAATAGTATGTCATGTATCTTGCTTCATGCTTGATGACTTGTGGTGTATATAGAGGTTTAGAATATGGCCTTTTCATGCTTTCCACAAGATTACACTACCATGTTGGTCTACATTTTTTGCTTTGATATACATGTACTGTGTAACAGTAGTGCAAGCCTTGCAGCTTGGAATGGATTCTGGTGTGATCTCATTCCCTGTTAGCAATAGAACAATTTCTAAATTCTGGAAGGATTTCTGAAAAAAACAAACAATATGTATCTTTGATATGTCTGTGAAGGTTAGACATCCAGGTAATAATATACACACAAAAAAACAGTTACTGAAGCAACTCCAAAATCATATCCAGTTGCTTGAGTAACTGTTTCTTGGTGTCGTGTAGCTTGTTTCATGCTTGATGTTCTGGTGTATTTATCTGTAGGGGTTTGAAATATCTCTGGGTGTTGGATTCATCTCAGGGGTTCCTCCTCATTATTGACAGCCATGAAACACAATTAAGTGTAGTCTTCCTCACATCTACCACTAGTCATAAGCAATTTCACACTTCGCTAAGTACTAATTCAATGTATTGTCTAGAGTATTTGTGTACAGTAATGAGATATGAGGTATAAGCAGTATTCCATGCAGTTAGTTATAAAGGCAGAGTGACAATTTGAAATTCATACTAGAGATATAAGCCCTTGATATAGCATGTATCCCACAGCAATGAAAATTCATGATGTACAGAGATTTCTTCATTTCTTAAGTTGAAAAGGACCATGAACTGGTTTTGACAACCAGCACTTAAGCTTAAAGTTAAAGGATTTTGTATAGCGTTGAAGGCCTATTCCAAAGTTACGATGGAGCAATGTTATGCAGTTTTTAGATTATATACTGTATTTTGTATGCCTACATGTAGGTTCAACCATATACTCTCATCTTAAAAGGTTTAGAAACTTACATTCACCAACTGTACCTGTATTATTACAGTACTCCATCAATGTAAGGTATTATGTGTCATTGGAAAGCTAAGCATTTGTTGACTGAAACTTCACGTATTTTGTATACCTACATGTAGGATAAACCATACACCCTCTACTCAAAAGGTTTAGAAACTTACATTTGACCAACTGTACCTCTATTCTTATTCCATCCGTTGTATGGTATTATGTGAATGTGTGGAAAGCTAGTGCATTTCTTGACTGAAAATTCATGGTGGTCAGTAGTGTATAGTCACACTACTGATAGATTTTGTATGCCCCTATTGTGTCACCTTATCCATGCCCAGGGTGTTAGCCAGCACATTCTGAGGTATTGAATATGAGCTGTGCTTCTAGAGTGCTGTCCAATTCTGTAAGCCTTGATGGAAATGCTGTAGATCTGTCTCTTGAATAAGTGTTCATGAAATGATGAGGTCATTGGGGCAGGTTTTTTGAGTCTCGGATCAACTCTTTCAGGATGGTATTGGGAACTTACAAGAAATGATTTCGATTTTAAACCTGTCCTGCCCATACTGCTAGAGGTCATAGGGGTAGGTTTTCTTGGGTTTTCAAGTCTTCATCTCTCTTAGAGTGTTATTGGGAACTTACAAGAAATGTTGTTTATTTCAAACTTGTCCTGCCCAAGCTGCTAGGCTTAGATACATCTCAGTTTCAGAGGTTTCAGTCACTTCAAAGCTCTGGAATGTTACTTACTTATCCTCTTCATCCCTTGCAGATGAAGACAATATAAAATTTTTGCAGAAAAAAATGTTGATCGATTGATTGATTGGATAGTGTGATGGCAAATGACTTTACCAAATTGCTGGAGTTAGGAAGAAGTTTGTATACAGTTATCAGATCCCCAAATGTACACTGCCTGGTAGGAAACTGATTAAGGGACTGTAATTAACGTTTGATGCAATTCGTCAGCTGCTATGACACTGTCATTTCCTGTCGGAGCTAAAAACGTGTAGAAAATTTAATCAGGGGTTCCCGGGAATGATTTGAATTAGAACTTGGTGCTTATGTATGTGTCGTGTTATTATTGAAGGTCCCTGTGCAACTCAACATATTAATGTTGTTGTCAGTTTTATTGCATGAGGTACCTGAAAAATTATGCAGTAATTTTCATTAGATTGTGTTCAATATATCACACACACACTCATCAGATATGCAGTAACTTTTTAAACTTCATACAGTCGAGTTTGCAAGGCCAGCAAGCTTGCTGACAGTCTGAACGATTTAACATTCAGCACAGTGTGACACTCTTTATTTATCACTTGATAGCTTATGATGAATGACTTCACTGCAGCATTATGTAATGCTGACATTTTAGCTATATCTATATATCTTGCAAGACGAGCACTCCACCCACTTGGCCATAGCACGGGTCTCACATTTTAACTGTATCTAGATCTGGGTTTTCTTGTTGTTGCAGTGCAAATCCCAACGAGAGCCACCAGGGTACTAAAATGCATCCTAACTACTCATATCAAACCTTTTTAATAGTCTAATAGTTGTGTTCTGGTTCATACGGTTTCTGGCAGCTAGATGAATCTTAGATGAATGACTACACTGCAACATTATGTAATGCTGACATTTTAGCTACATCTATATATCTTAGAGTCCTTGACAATGTCATTGCAGTGTGAATCCTAACTACTGGTATCAGTCCATTTGAGTAGTCTGATAGTTGCGTTCCAGGTCATATGGTCTCTAGTATTATGTACATGTAATGCTGACATATGCTGGCATGTATACATTCTACATCTATATATTTATATCTATATGTATATATTTACATCTTGTCTCCCTTGTTGTTGCAGTGTGAATCCCAAGGAGAGCCACCAGCATACTAAGATGCATCCTAACTACTAACTACTTGTGTTACTGTTCATACAGTTTCTAGCTGCCAGATTATCATTGATCTTCTCACGATGAATGACTACACGGCAGCATTATGTAATGCTGACATTTTCACATACACTACCAGTATATTTACATGTATGTCTTGTCTCCCTTGTCATTACAGTGCGAATCCCAAGGAGAGCCACCAGCTGGCGGAAGCTAACGAGAAGAAGAACCTGAAGATGAAGGAGGCGTTCGGCATCTCGGAGTCTTACGTGGACGGCAGCTCCTTCGACCCCGCCCGACGAGCCAAGGAGGCGGAGGCCAGAAAACAGCAGCAGCTGCAGCAGCAGCAACAGAAGAAGTACAAGTGAGTTGAGTGCTTCTAAAAACAAGAATTCAGAGACCTCTATGTTATATATTTACTCTTGTGTGATGGTGACTGTGACTGTTATAATTGTACTTTTAACGTGTTGTACATGTAATTTTTAATGTAAACTTGATATGCAACAAATAGGTTTTATCAAATGTAACAAACTTTTATCAAATAGCTGTATTATAAGCGCATTTGGTGTTCTAAAGCCTTCTGAATTCAGCCAAATATGGCTGCTTACAGGCTTTTGTGTGTACTTGTATGGTACAAATAAACCAGTCTCTTTCTCTCTTTTATTCTTCGCTGTTTTAGATGTCTATTATAGTATCTAAGGCTAAGGCCACATAAATCTAAATCAATTGGTACTTGGATTAGCCAGCTGCATTTTTTTTCTTATTTGCAAAAAACAGAAATAGTAGTCAACTCCAAAATGCTCATATTTTCGCCCCAACAGTTCAGGAAAGTCTTTGTCTTCATAGTTCTTCCATCTAACAATGCAGTGCTTTGATTGAAAGCTCAAAATTCATTATTTGAATTGTAAACCAGTCTCATATGTTGACTTCATGGTTGCTATTGTGCCCTGGTTTGGAAATTGTGATGATTTCTGTTGAACATAGGCTGGCCAGGGTGCTGAAATTCTGGTGGTTGTTATTCATAGCCTTCACCTGGTTGAAATGGTGGTTCCAGATTGACATTGAATGATACACTAGAATTTGATAGAAATTAAAACACAAATGGGTAGAATGAGAGTTGAGAATAGGACCTGTCATAAGAAGTTGTGTTGCTTTTGCTTCCTTCAACGTTTTTTTTAAATCTTAAATTCCCCACCTGTTCCCCTCAGCATGATCCGTGAGCCCAGCTCCTCCCCTTCACCGCCTCCTAAGAAGAAGAAGAAGAAGTCTGGAAGAGGTCGCAGCAGGTGAATATAAATATCGTCTAAATTCCCAGTACCCCCACAGTAGAGATATTACTGTTGATTACTGACAGTACTGTATAGCCTTTATAGAAGAAGAGTTTCAGTAAGTTTAAGTTAAGTTTTAAGCCTAAGTTCATCTTTTTGTAGCAGAACCTATAAAAATAATATTGTCATGTTCAAAATATATGAGAAACATATGAGAAATCAGTCAGGTAAAGTAGCTGCAGTTAGCTTTGTCAAGCCCAGAAACAATTATAGTCGTGTTGCTTGGAATATGGTACAGAAAATTGTTTTCCAAACAAGAACAAGTGGCCATCATGCACACTCCTCCAATGGCCTTATTGTACTCCTCCTGATCAGGAATTTTGGTTCATTATTGAATATTGGACTCTCTACACCACTTTCTTGCACTGCACACCAATCTCACAATCAAGAGACATTAAACAGTATTTTTTATTGTTTTCGACAACACATTATTACACCTTAGCCCTCCCCCATTCTCCTTACACGGCAATAAAAGTCTCACTTTGTAAAATGCATGCCTAATGTCTCTTGATTTTGACATTTTCCAAGCAAAAAACGGAAAAATGGAGTTGTGAGGAGGTAAGGTGCTATTGCTTAGTTTTCCCCACACCTCTTGATTTCCCTCACTCTTGATTGGCTTGCACAGTTTAATATTGGCATACAGTCATGGCCTACATGTATATCAGTGTGTTATCTTAGATCAGGAACTTTGGTCTGTCTTAAGTTGGTATGGTTGAATCAACGTGCATTGTAAAGGTGCTGTAGAACTTCAAGTTTTTATTGGTAACCCCAAAAATAGCTTTAAACAGTGCCTAGAGTTAGAAGTTCAAGGCTTAGGTGTGACAAGTTGATCGGTGTAATATAGCCAGCTGCCGCCACGCCGCGTGCCTGCGAAGCTGGTGTGATACGCCGAAAGGCGGTTATACCGGCTATACTGATACAGATACAGATAGAGAAACATAAAGTTCATCTTGTCATAACCAGCCCTGAAATAAAAGATGATTGTTTCCTGTTCAAAACATTACACAAGTACAGAATGATGTAACCTGATAACAATAGTCCAAGTCCTGAAGCAATTTTTCTTGATACGTTTTTGAGTTATGATATGATACCGGAAATATTGCCAGATGATTAATAGCAATCAGTAATAATGAAACATCAATTATAATTGTCTCCAACAAATATTACAACTTTGACATGACAGCAAATTAAAGTAATCTCTCAGGAGATGTTTAAAATAAATGATTGATCATAAGCTACAATCCTGATATGAAATTGCTCTCTTTTCATTATAGCTAAATCTCTTATAACGACTTGCCAATCAGAAAGGGAAATCCGTATGAAATTCGCTGGTATTACAGATTGTCTGACATACAGAGACACCAGGGCACCAAAGAGGTCAAAGTAGGTTCTCAACCTTTGACATCTGCCTTGAACTTTCTGCTCCAATGAGAAGACCTTTTGGGCAGATGATCGTGACTGTGCATTTTAGTACAGCTTGAAGGTCCCAGGATATCATTGCAGTACTGTAGTCCTGAACTTTGGAGTGAACTTTGTATTTGAAGTGGTAATGCATGGCAGGATGTGGGTGGGGATGTAAGATGAAAGCAAAGCATTTCAATCAAGATCTTGGGGCATCTAAAGCATACTTTAAAGCATACTTATATTTATGTAGCAAAGAATCTTCTGGTAAAAGCCATTGGTCATCTCCCAAGTACCAAACCCTTAGTGTCGGTTTTGACAAAGTGGTAGAAATGCAGGTGATTTTAAAGGGAGCAAACTAGTTCCTTTGTAGTCCCATTTAAACTGGTTAAAACTACCATAACCTACATGTAGTGTGACCATCGTTGCCCCAAGAATATGTGCAGTCAATTACATGATGATATAACATTCATAGAGGTTACACACCATCTCTTTTGTAAAAGTAAATACATTCCATCTTCCCTGTGGCCTGGTGAGGTGCAGATAAGTTTCCCATTCAGGCCAGGCGCGGATCAGTGAACTTTTTCCTTCTGCCTGCCTGTCTGAGCAGAGTTACTTTACTCCAGACTTTAGTGAGAGATAGGCTGTCAGCGTAGTGATTTAACCTTTTGTAAATGGTACGCACACTGCATAGAAAGATGAGTTTCTCCCCATTCAGTACTGCTAGGCTTGGCAGTCCTTCACTGCAGCAGGCACTAGGTATTCCATGGTTTACAGAAGAGAAGTCTAACCTTCAGACATAGTTTTAGACATATTTATAGTTCTAGACAGCTACCTTCATCATGTAGTCTAAGACTTTAGATATTTTATCATCATCATCATTGTTCTTTTATGTTTTGTAATTTGCAATTAGCCTCCGGGCACGAATTTGCAATAAACTTTTCATTTTATTTTTTCATTTCTTAAATTTATTTTGTTGTACAATGTATATGAATAAAACAAAACACAGAAAATAAATATCATAAACAGAGGGAATGTACTGTGGATGGCAAAGAAGCCATCAGGCTATTTCAAGTTCCCCATGACAGTTAGGAATAACTGCAAGCAAACATCTGTGTTATTTAGTCTTACATACACACTTGATACTCTGTTTTCCAGGGAATTTTCCTATAATAATAATATATTATTGCAACTTATAAATAACAATGCCATGTGTCATGTACATGTACCACATTTCATACATATATAGTTCATCTGTATTGGTAGCTACATATTTAAAAAACTTTTGTCCCTACACGAGAGATTATTCTCACTGAGAGCTTTTGACCAATAACTCTTCCTCAGTTTTGGTTTGAAAATGGTGCATTTTTTGCTTAAAGGTTCCACAGAGATGCATGCCTTTTCCTTATAATATACATGTACATACGTAAAGTTGGAATGTTGGACTTTTTGTTGAGCTGTGACGATTGTTTTGCATAACTGTAGTATTCCATTGTAACAATTTTCATCCATCCCAATCGTTACACACTCATCTAGCTGATTCTCTTATCCGGATAGAAACATTTACAAGAAAGTCTTGTAAATCAAGTGAGCATGTGTCAAAAAACGTATTGATTATTTTAAAATCACATTTTTTTTCACAACTCAGTGCCAAAGTTTTTGTGTAATGGATGTTAAGGTACTAGTAGTAAGTTACAACGCATTGAAGGCAAACCTTGATTGTTAATGGATTATGTTTGGGGTTTTCCCCCCAGGAACCTTTGAAAATCGCCATTTGTTGACATGTATTTCCTGGATAGATAAATAAACAAACAAACAAACAAACAAATGATTGTTCTTGTTAACTGCAGGTCTCGGAGTTCGTCGCCTGAGCGCAAGGAGAAAAAGCGGTCTCGCAAGCACAAGCGCGAAAGGTATGCAAGACGTTCCCCCTCCACTCCATGAGAACATCATGGATTTTGTAACCTATACAAACATCATCTTTGTCTCTTTCTAACCATGCCTCAATATATTTATTTAAAGCTAACTCAACATGTATTTAATCTAGATTTCTACAAAGAAAAAATGTGTAAGAACTGTATAATAATAATAATTATGCACAACTGCCCTCCACAAAATTTGGGAGAGTTATTTTGCCAGCATTGAAGCATGTAAAGTAAAAGATCCTAACACCATGACATGTGTCTGTGAGAACACAGGCTGTGTACGTATGATAATTTTGGTGTCACCGTTTTGTCAACCCCGTAAGTTAACATGGGTGACAAGTGCTGTGTACTGGCAACAAACTTGTGGTTGTATCACAGCTGTCTCCCTGATTGTAGAAAACCATTTTCCAAAAAAAGATGCTTATATGTTGAAAAATTGCATACCACAGAGTACGAAACGTTAAATTACAGCGATTATTTCCCTGTGGTTGTATAGCAGCCATCTCTGTGATTGTGAAAAACTGTTTTCAAGTTTTTCAAGTAAAAAAAATACACACCACAGTGGCTTTTTCCTAGCAAAATGTAGCACATATTAGATGACAAAGGAAAAAATTTAACTCCAAAACTGAAGAAATAAGGCCGAAAAAACTACAGTCAGGGACCAAGCTGTTGTGTCCATGTGTGGACAATGTGGGCATTGGACAATGGTATGGACAGTATGCCGGTATATACCATGGTCATTGTGCCTCTTTTGATCTCGTCTCTGACATGACTGTATTGAATAAAGACCTTTTTTCTTTCATTTTTCTCTTGTGCTTCGATAGTCATTAATATTTAGCAGGCTCATTATTTTCTACTCGATCCAAGGTAATACACTATATGTTTGTGCTGTCTTGAGCTAACATTAGAAAAGAGTGATACTTACGCTGATTCTAACTAGCAGCTAACAACCAATCATGGATGTGGATTGTCGTACACTTATCCCGTACCTCTTGTAGTTCAGCCAATCGTAGTAGAGTACACTTGGCAAGTCACATGCATGATCCAATCATACAACATTCCCTGTTAATTTATGCACAGCTTGAATTTGTTGTTAAACCATATATTTCAGTATTTGGTATTAGTTTGAAATTTGATTGTTAAGTGTCCTCACTCTACGTTTCCATTTATTTTTCAGCTGCAGTCTACCTTTTTTCCTTTGCTTATGTTTGAATTATGGTTTATTATATGTGTAACCGATTGATATCTTAACTGTGTCTTGATTTTAAACACATTTTGTAGTCGTATATGTAGGTACCATTTTGCTTCTAAGCTTCGCTTACTTATTGCAGAGAAATGCTTAGTTTATTGCGCATTAAGAACATTTATGTTGATGTGACTGATTTTTGTGTGGCCCAAAATGATAGCAAGAAAAACTAGCCCATTGAAAAGGCATTTTTAACAGATGAGGTAGCATATTATATCTGCTAGTTAGCTCCGGAAAGCCGATAGAGTTGGGGTAAGACGCATGACATTAAACACTAGCCGGGCTGTATTCAGTACATGTCTGCATGCTTATTAATCAAACACTATAATTTTTGCGTAAGAATCACTGCATGAAGCCTTCCATATACATGTATGGGAAAGCAAATGAAAAAAAAAAAATTAGTTTAACAGAAGAAGAAAATTAAAAAGAAAATAAATTTATCGTGATGTAGAAAGGTGTGCTTTACCTTCATTTCTGTCTTGAGATAAGAGACCTAGCCTTGTTTTTTCTTGTTTAATAAAAAAAAATACTGCCTGGAACCTACATCATTATGATTTTAACCAGTTTCTTCTGGAAAAAGGCTAAATGTCTCTTACCTCTGGATATTGCTACAACTCTTAAATCCATTCTGCACATTTTGCACGATGCACTGGCATAGATCTAGATTCTAGTTTTTTTTTCACATCATGAATCATTGAGTTAATCTTAAGCATAATGCCAGATTGTTTACTTAATAGAGAACAGGGTTTTTAATTAAGCAGCATAGCTACAGATTATGTGGTGCATAAGATTTTAGTCCAAATTATGCCAACTTTTCATCTCTTGTTGGTAACATCATTTAAGATGACAAAAGTAAAAAAAGACTAAAAAATATATTATAATCCAGTATCTTTCTTAAAGTTTTAAAACAAAAGACGCTCTAAAAAAATCATAGACGTTGCAGCTTGAATCTTGGCGGTTTAAAATTGCTAGTTGACGGGTGGCAAGGTTGGTTAAGAGCTTGGCACTCTCAGGCCTGTCAGTATTAAAGTCTCAAGCTTGCATGAAAGGTGCCGATCGATCAGTCAGTCCCGTTTTCCTGTTTACCATCATGAATTACCAATCTCAGATATGCCCATTATTATCGGATTTCTTGCTAAAGCTGCCTATAGGGAAGCCCTGAGTAAGTGCACCATCTAACTTCTTCCTCCGTGTAGTTTTATTTTTGATCAGTAGTGCCGATAAATGGATGTATAACATATAACTGTCTTTGCTCTGTCATGCTTTCCCTGTGCAAATCCCGAATATCTCTCGGCCCAACCATGTGCGCTACAACGTTTTTGATTTCGATCGTCTTTTTTCCTAATGCTTCTCCTCTTGCCACTGCCCCCCTCCCCCTTCCACCACCTCTTCCTCCTTGCCTGTTTGGGGTTTATGTCTCAGCTTGGTGAGTGGGCTAAAAACGAAGCATGGTCTGCATGCAGGCAGGCACAGCAATGTTGCACATACACACCCCCATCATTATGCATTCACATAACCGTTTCTTTTCCATCAGCAAACTTCTTGCCCCATGCACCAACTGAGACTAAGACCACCAGCCTTATCATCTTGTTCAACCTCTCTTTCTCCCCCCTCCCACCCCCATATTTCCATTCTGTGGCAATAGTGTCTTGTCTTCAAATCTTGGGAGAAGAGTATAGTGGAAGACTTAGCTAATAATTCTACCTTTGGTTTGTTTTTACCCGTTACTTGCAGATCTGAGTCGCGATCTAAGTCCGGCAGAAAACATAGGTATGTGGCTGATGGTGACTCACTGCTGGTAATGTCTGCACCATATATTAAGAATTGTTTTCACATTCGTGTGCATGTAGATAGTGATAACATCACAATATGATAGACTTTGTTAGCCACGTACTGCACTGTATATAATTATGGCCTTCTGCGGTCAGTATTGACCATGTAAAATCCTAAATATTGTATTCTGTACTGTAATTCCAAGTATTTGTCAATAAAAATTTATGACGTAAAACATTTATTGCTAACTACTGTTGTATGGTTGAAAATTTAGGATACTTCTTACAGTTAGCTATTTTGTAGATGAATTATTTCCTATGGTATACAATGTTAGATGTCCCTACCTAGTTTCTTTCAGTTGTGTTAAGCTTGAATAACTTGAATTTAGCAGATAAGAACCATGCAAGAACATCTTCTCTTTGGCCAGTTTTAAATGTCGTCAGTCTTGTAATGCTGTACTTTTCTAACATAGCCTTTTTATCATTTCTTAGTCAAACTGATGGGAAAACTTCAGCTAAGTCGATCTTGTCTTCCTCTATTGTGTGTATCCACATGTCTCCGTGTCTCTACAGCGATTTCTCTTGTCTGTTGCTTTGTCAGATCCAAAAGTCCTTCCCCCAAGCGTAAACACAAGGAAAAGAGCAAGCGGCGCAAGAGGTAGGAAGCTTTGTCATAATTGTGTTACTAATAATAATACTAGTATATATGAACATTTGTACATGTGTGGAGTGAAGACCAATGTTGGTTGTGGTACGGTATGCCATGGCATGGTGTAGACAATACCAGGAGTGGATACTGCAAGCAGTGGTTCTGAGTAAGAATTATGACTACTCTTAATTATAAAGTCAGCCTCTACTGTCAAACATATAGATAGAGATTTTCTGGCTTAAAAGTTATAAAACAGTATAGAGTTGGCTTTGTTGGAAGCAGGGGGCACAACTTACACACTTTGAAAAGCATCTCCAGCTAACAGGACATTTGTAACATTAGAATAAAAGTGACATTAAACAGATGTAGTGCATTTCCACTCATATACACTTGTAGGCAGGGTTTCTGCAATCTTATGCAGAATTCAGAATCACTCTGAATGACATTACTTCTTAAGGGAGAGGCAAGAAATAAAATTTGTTCTTCAATATAAGGTATGTTAGCCCTGCAAAGTCACCAAAATCATCATCCAAAAAGCAGTACTAAGAAGATTCTTTTAAGGCTGTGTTAAAAACCTCTTACTTGGTGTATCTACTCCTGGTATGTGTGGTATCATGTCCCATTCAAGATTCAACAAACACTACAGTACTGCAAAATGCAGTGTCAGAAGAAGGTTCAACACTTTGAATGGGACCATAAGATACAACAATCATGATTCCAAATGTAGTAGAAACAGTGCCATCGGTAATAGGATACGTCGATCGAGTATACATCATAATGGTCTGGTGTGCCAGCTACTGTACACTTTGGCACAGTACTAACTCTACACCCACACTTACATATGTATTGTTGCTTTTCCTCTCATGCTGACTCACGACGCAGCTTTGAGATTTGGTGATTTCCTTTAATACCTTGTTCCTTGTGGCTCTTCCCTGGTAAATTCCACGTGTTTTCTAGTTTTGTGGTGATGATGGTGATGGTTTAACAGCTTGTCAACTGCTACGACCACCCGAATGTTGTCATCTCTCCAATATTTTTTCATAGCGTCCAACTACTAGTAGTTAAATTCTACTGTACAATTCTCAGTGGATAACATACAAAATCCTCTGTAAACCATCTTTAGATCTTGTTAACTGTTGGTTGAGGAATTATAATTATAATCAGTTCCAGGGGCAGTTCTATATGCATTGTTGCATGCCAGATAGAGTTCATTTCTCCAGTGCAAGGGTACAGTCTTGCCAGATAAGTACATGTACAGGTAGACCTTCATCATTCTGATATAGAGGAACTACACCAACAGAGGGGCAGGCCCAGAGAAGGGCTGCTTTAGTCAAGCATATCTCTAAGTGTGCTATGAGCCAGCTGAAACTGTCCTGTGACAGTTTTGTTGTTCTTCTCTAACTTATAGACTGTGAGGAAATGAGATCATTGTGATTTTGGAAACGTCTGGAAGAAATGCTGTGGAATTGAGCCTGCCTTTGCAAAGTTAGTCTGAATTGCTGCATCATTTTTGCTCAAATATCCTTCTAAAATGAGAGAAATTGCATAAAGGAAATGCCTACTCCTTGTGTAAGATGAAAAATCGATTTTGAAACCCTTTTTTGTAGCAATAATTACAATATAAACATTCTACACAATCATGACTGTACTACATTGATGAAAGTTAGACATCCAGGTAATAAGATATGCCAGAAAAACAGTTACTGATTCAGAAGCAACTGGATACGATTTTGAAAACAGTGAGAAAGTACATCTACTGCTCAGGCAGCATTTCTTCCAGTTGTTTCACCTTTCCGAGTGAAAGAAAGACCCAAGCTGCACTGTCATTGATCACATGAATCATGTTAAGATGGGAACCCTTCTGTTGCCCAGATCCGTGAGTAAGACGCCCCCTCGTAAGGAGAAGCACGGGAAGAAGAAGAAGAGGAAGGAGCGAACTCCGACCCCCTCCAGCTCCTCCAGTTCCTCCGACTCCGACTCTGACAGCAGCAGCAACAGTAGCAGCTCACGAAGGTCAGTTGAGTAAGAATAATGCAGACTACACACTTACTAATACATACTTATCCTCTTCATCCCTTGCGAGATGTAAGGCCAGACGTGTACATGTACATGTACATGTATGATGGTCAAAATGACTAACAAACTGGCTATACAGATACAGATACAGATACAGATACAGTAGCAGCTCCAGAAAGTCAAGGAAAAAGAAAAATGTCTATGCTTATCACACAGTGAAGGCTATGAAGAACAACCATCAGAATTTCAGCACCGTGGACAGCTCTACCAGGCTTTGTAAGCCACTGGAAAGAATATAAATAGACAGATAACATGCCAGGGGAGTTGGTCTGTGCCACACTACATTGAAGGATATTTACATGTATATCGGCTTATATATACGTGTATGTAGATACAGCCTTTACCCTCTTACTGCTGTTTAAGGGGTTGGTCACGTAATAAAATCATGGTAGGCTTTTATAGCAAAGAAAATAAAGTGGTCATTCTGAAGATATGGAATAGAATAACCTTAGAAATGTATATTCATGCCCAGACAGGCTAAATGCGATCATATATGATCTACATGTAAAGCATGGAGTATACATTGTAAAACACTGAAATGCTACATTCTAATGTTAAATACTATGTATACTAAATACTATTGTTCATCCACTGTTAATCACTGTGACCACTAGTGTATCAAACTAACTGATAATGTACCTTCTATACCCCCAGCTCTGCAAGCCCCTCGCCGGAGAGAAAGTCAAAGTCCTCTAAGCTCAGCAAGTCGGGCAGCGGGAGCCCGCGGAAGCACAAGGGGGGTAAGCCGAGCCGGAGCCCCCCCTCCCGCTCACCCAGCCCTCCCCCTCAGCAGAGCCCACCACGCAGACTGTCTCATGAGAGGAATGGCAGACAGGTATGACTACTTTCTTTTTATTTTTTTTCTTGGCCAGAACACATTTTGCTAGCCTGGCATGGGTGCCATCCTCATCCCTAATGTTTGGTAGGCAGAGACATTAGAAAACTGGCGGAAAATATACAGGATGGCACCCAGGCTAATGTTTTGCTACTACATGGAAGCAAATCACCCTTTCTTCCTCCATACTCTATCTCTCAGGAGAAAGTTCCACACTGAAAGCTTATTTCCTCAAACTATTCCATCACTATGGAACAAGCTTCCTTGTGAATGCTTCCCAAATGGGTACAAGCTTAAACTTTTAAGTCTAAGGTCTGTCTTAAAGTCTTTACAGTTCCTTATTGTAGCCCAAAACATAGTGGTTTGTATGAGGCTTGTTTTTGAGGCTTGTTATTGTACATTTATGCTCTTACAAGTCAAGTACAGGTCAAGTATAAAGCACAGAGACAAGTGCACAAGACACACCAGTGGCTGTGTTGTTTAAGCCCTTCCATCATGGCATTGTCTTTGGTTCCGTACAGGCGGAGTCCCCTGTCACCCAGCGCCCCCGTGCCTCAGACGCCCGGCGCTACCAGTCCCCGCCGCAGAAGGACAACAGCAAGAGCTACCGCTCCCCACAGCAGACAGCAGACAACAGAGGTCACAGCTCCGGACAGCGACCTTCAAGCCACGACGGGAGAACAGCAAACAGGGACAGGTCAAGGTCGTCCTCACACTCGGAGTCCGAGAGGTCACGAGGGTCGGTGTCTCCACCCAAGGAGAAAAGAGCAAGGTATTAAATACTATTGTCTGTGTTAGTAGTTACATGACTGTCTAAAGTTAAAACTTTAGGTCCAAGACAGTCTACCAGATACAGTATTGACCCAGTGTTGACGTCACACTTCAAAGAAGTCACGTGACAAGCTTCACTGGGTTAGTCTACTGAGGAAGACCAGAGTGACTGGTCAAAAGCTCTAGGTGAGAGAGCTTTTTTGTGTTGGATCTAAAGTTTTAACTTTAAGCAAGGACCTGGTATTAAGTAATTGGTTTACAACATTTCTCTCAAAATCCTTGGATGGGGCAACACAAGGATAAAACTCATTCCAATTTCATTAACTTAAAAGGTAACATTGTTTCTTTGTTTTTTGCCAACTCTAAGCATGGAAAAGCAGCTACCTTTACAATTTTTCTAACCTTTTCCCTACTACAGGCTAAGTCATTCACCAAATTGCTTGCTGTGCAAGTCAGAAGGATTGTTGAACAAAATCCCAATCCAGGGAAACTGCATAATGCACTTATATTGGCCCCATTACAATAAAACTAAGTAGTGTAGCCTGTCTACTTACTGTGTTTGTTTATCTCTTAATGATCTATTCTTACTTCATGCCATTAACAAGGAAACTAATGAATGAAAGAAAGTCATCAGGTACGAACTTTTGAGTTTTCTTTTTACGTTCTTTCCATCTCGTCCTAGTTTTGTTGTCTGTTGTTTTTTACTACTGGTCAAGCGGAGTGACTCTCTGATCTAGGTACTACTCAGTTTGCCACTCTTTCTTCCTTTCGCACTGCAGCGACATTTTGCTAACCTGATTTTACAAGATAATTGTACCAGATAAACATGATTTCGATGTTGATTTTCCGCTACAGGATGTCGCGGGACGAGTCTCCGAGGAAACAGCAGGAAGTGCGACGGTCCCGGAGTTATTCCCGCTCGCCCGCCGCCCGCAGCCGATCTCGAAGCTACTCCCACTCTCCCTCCCGCTCGCCCTCCCCCCAGCCGGCTCGCAAGTCTTGCAGCTACTCCAGGTCCAAGAGCCCGTCACCGCCGCCGCAGAGGAGGTAGGATTGATAAATTAGCCTTCATCAACATAATTTAAAAGTCTGTTGCATTGTGTGAAAGTTGTTTAGCACCAGGGACAGGTCTGGTCCTTTTACTTGGTAATCTTGTTCCTGCTGAAGTTTTGTGTTGTGTTGTCTTCACTTTGCTTGCAAAATGCAAAAGAGTTCTTTCCATTGTTTTTTTTTAAACAGAAATTTTGTTTTTGTTCTATTGACCATTGTACAAAATGAAATATAGGCTACACTAAAAGTGCTCAAGAAAAAAGACAGATTTATATCATGGCAGTTCATCTGTGTCAGTAGTAATCATAGTACAATGTTAAACTTTATATCAACACTCTTTGTAATTAAGGCAAAAAAGGCAGAATCAATGAACTAATGCTCTAAATAGCTAGCTGGCTAGTGCACTGTTAATACCAGTATGACTATTGACAATTAGATACATTAAGTATGAAAGTAACCCTCACCCCTGTATTGCTCCAGACGTGACTCCCGGTCGTTGAGCTACTCTCCTGTCGGCAGGATAAGCAGAGACATGTCCCCGGCCAGGCGCAGCCCCAGCTACAGTCCCAGGAGGTAAGGACAGGACAAAGCAATAAGATACTCTTTTTACAAAACCATGAGGTAACTGTAAATGCTGTGCAATGTTAACCAGTCAGAATTACTCTGAGGAAGGTGGCAGACGGTCATGGAAACATTGGCTAAAAAAACTTGTGGGTTGTGTAAAAAAAGTCTCTTTATTCAGTGACTTACCATCCTGATGAAACTACATATTCATGTAAGTACTTTTTCATGTCCTTGAAGGTTAGATGTCCAGGTAATGAGATACGCAAGAAAACAGTAATACTCAAACAATTGGATAGATTTTGAAAACTGTTTCCATCAGCATCTATTATATTTTTTCAGTTGACTTACCCTTAGGTCTTCCTTCATATTATGACCTCAATGAGAAGTGGCCTGTAGGCTGATTTGAGGTTCTCATGAATAAGGAATGGTTCAAACAAACAAACACCTAATCTTCCCACAGGGTGAGCAGAAGATCTCCGTCGGGCAGTGGCAGCAGTCGTAGCCGCAGCAGGAGTCACAGCGCCAGCCGCAGCCCAAGCCCCGCCCACAGACACTCCAAGAGCCACAGCCGCAGCTACAGCAACTCTCCGCCGCGGGTCAGGGGTCGTTCCCGTAGTTACTCCCCCATCATCCCCCGCCGACGCAACAGGGACTCGCCGAGCCATCTGGAGCCGCGACGGATAACCAGGTAAAAATGCAGCGGTTTTTGTTATCTGGTTACGTCCCTGCTGCACATAGCCTAATTTGGCTGTGCCAAACCACCTGTTAACTCTGTGTGGGGGATAGGTCTGGGGAAAGTTCTCAATGTGTGACAGGGGCTTTAATGATAGTCTGTCATACAGCAAGGACATGTAGATGGCTATTACTAGTATAAGAGTGACATGACAAGTCTGACGTAGACTGTTGTCAGTTATTTTAAAAAGCTGTATGCTGTATGTGGAGTGCCGCCAGAACAACAAGAGTATGAGAAGTCTTCCCAAAGTTCTAGTTAACACTACGAATTTTAGTAGTTTTTTTTTTTGTCTTGATGTGAATTATTTAGAAGGTTTTCCCATGCTCGTCCCACTCCAACAAACCATAGTGCCATTGTTTTACCTTTTCTGGATTCTGGCTGGCTTGTGAGTGATGTATTTATGTTGTGTTTCTGTTGTCATTACGTTAAAGTTTTCTTGGTTTTCTGATCTTTTTATGTTATTCTTTTCACCTTAAACTTTATTGTGACAATTTGCAAGAGAAAGGATGTATTTTTTGTCCTAGAGATCTTTTTTTCTTAAAGAAAATTTTTGTTGCAAGTCTATTATTACTTTGGTTTTGTTTTGTGTTACTTTGTTTACATTTAGCTGCATGCAATGTTTGTAGTGATTTGTGTTTGCTTTCTTTCTTTCTTCTTCCCACCATCCCACCGAATCTAGATCCCCCGACTGTAGGCAGCAGCGCCGAATCGAACGGAGCAGGATCCCGCCCCTGAGCCCCCCTCGCGAGCGGGATTACGGTGGCCGTCGTGTTTACTACGACGTAAACCGGTCCCCTCGCAATCGGGGTTCCCGAAATCGCCGTTCACGGTCCCGAGATGACGACAGGCGTCGCCGCCGCTGATGAGTGTTGTGAGCATTGACAGTTGGCTGTAGGGATGAGACTAGCTAGCTAGTGGACTGAGCATCAGGAAGATTTCCATGGAAACAAAATTTGATTTTTTTTACTATAATGAATTAAAAGTTCATCTGTGTTGGTAGTTACATGTTCAAAGTTAAACCTTTTGTTCCAACACAAATCACCTACATGTAAAGCTTTAGGCCAGTCACTCTGGTCTTCCTCAGTAGACTGACCCGGAGAAAGTTATTATGTGATAGATCATTTATGTCCTGTTTAGTTCCTAAAAATACAAATTTTTTAATATGTTTACTAAAAATCAATATCATCTTTACATTGAAAATTGTGCTCTTAACTTTGTTATGTGTACATGCAGTTCAAAAATCCAGTTTCTTGTTCGTCACACTCCAGAAATGCTTAAGATGAAATCCTGTTTGCATTTTCCCCCGTAATTTTAGGAGAAATATTTTTGATGCACAGTCGTATAAAAGTTAGGTGTGGATTACCAACAGCTGCCCTTGCCCAAATAACCACTAACCAATCAGATTGCTCCAACAGCTGGTGATTGACATCTGTCTCTTTCTCTGCTGACATCTACCAATCAAATCACTCAGATTTCACCAGACCTGGACACATATAAGCGTTGCATTCACAGCATGTCAGTACATCAGAGCACGTCGGCAGAACGTACTGCACCTGCGCGAAACCCGTAATGTATTGTGCATAGCATTTCGGCAGAATGTCTCATATAAGGTTATATTCGCTCATATAAGGTTAGCATTTCGACAGTAGTTTCCAAATGTTGTGTCGGAAAGAATATCCTCTGCAACAGGCAAAATTCTGATGCAACGTTGACCAAAAACCCAACGAAAAACGCGAAAATACGGGGTTCTGCGCAGGCGCATTATGTTCTGACGTGCTGTACATCAGGGCTCTACATACCTGTACTGGTGCTGGTAACATTGAAAATTACCTGCACCAGACAAATTTTACCTGCACCATTCACAATTTAGGAAGTGTAGATCCTACTAAAACTGTTTGGAAACCATTGACATTATTTCTTTTATACTTCAGAGCTGGTAAAAGTCAATGCAGGAAATGAACTTCCACATACACCTACATTTTGTGTATAAAAAAATTACATGAACATTTAGCACATGGACCAGTGCAGCTTAGGTGCAGGTTGACTCTTGTGATTGGATAATACAAATCATATGACCCATCCTGAACCACAAAAGCAATTCAATCATACTGCATTTCGAGCAAGAAATTCATGGACGTTAATTTTGTTTGGTCTCAAAAAAGAGTGCAAGAAAACAGGTCTGGTGAAATACATACTTTCAGGTATTTACAAATAATTCATCTTACCTCCCACAATCAACAGCTTCAATATTCTGTCTGCAAATTCAGTGTTGCATTCTGTTGTTTGCAACTAAACTTGCTTTGCACTTTGTTGTGTGGTGTGGTTACTGTTTTGCACCTAACATTTTCAGAGTGACATAGTATAGTCTTTGCTGTCCACAGTAGCCAGAGATAGTGCCTGTAACTTCGACATGATAACAATCTTGCTGACAACGTTCACTCTTCACTGCCTGAAATCTGTTTCCACTACATAAGAGTACAGATTGTTCCTAACCTGTTGTATGTTTGTCCACTCTGCACATGTTGTCAATGGTTAACATCACTTTGAGACACAAATCTTTGCCACTAATATTGGATACATGCATGTAAAGAAATTGCACACATCAAACACTTTACTTGTTCTCTGTTGAATTGTTGAATACATTGTACGATAATGATTTTCTTTCCATTATTATTTTACTTATTTTATTTTATGCATTTTAACAAATGTGAAAGATTTATGAAAAACAAATAGATCTAGGCATTTTCTTTAAATTTTGCTTCTTTGTATAAGCAAAACAGAATTGTACTTAAATAAAAGAAATAAAAGAAAGATTTTACCAAACCTTACATCATGATATCGTAAACCTTCAACACAGCACCCATCCTGATATTGTAGTTCTTCTTTTCCATTTCAGTATCTCCCTCTCACTGAATCCTTTATTTCTTCGTTCTTTCAGTGCGCGAAAGAGACCAGTGCCGTACTACCGCCCCAGCCCTCCCAGTTCCTACTACGACAGCGACAGCAGTTATTACAGTCACAGCTCCAGATCCAGAAGTAGAAGCTACAGCTACTCACGCAGCAGATCTAGAAGCCGGAGCTACCGAGACTCACACAGCCGCAGTAACAGCTACCGCAGCTACACACGCAGTCGCTCTAGAAGTAGAAGCTACAGTTATAGCAGTAGAGAAAGCTATAGAAGATGATCATTGTGCTTTCTTGTTCATAGTCTGTCTACCTTGGAGTTAAGTCTGTCTGGTGGTAACCCTACCACAGGAAGGGTTGTTACTAGATGGTTAACTCTTTAGGTAAGATATGTAGATCTTGGTCATATACCAGTGTTTCCTTTTGGGGAGAGTAGTACTCATAAGAAAGCTTAAAGTATAGAGAGGGAAAACTTCTCTTTGGTGCTGAAAAAAAAGATTATTGCCAGGTGTATGGTGCTCCTTTTTGATTGCTTTCCTTCCTTTAGCCAATCAAAATTGAAGGTGATTTTTAAATTCGGTGTTTCGAGCATATATACAACAAATGAATCGGTGTTTGAAATAAAATGAGTACTAAACATACAGAGTAAGTGAGTACATTAACTCTCAGTTCTGTACTTTGACTTTATCTGGAAAATTTTTATTTCCTTATCCAAAATTTGCATCATGGGAACATCCCTGCACAGGCTAGCACTGGTATATGCACGAGTGTTTAGTATGTTAATATATAGTATCAAGTAATATATGTATCATCTCATATTTTCTTGAAGAAAGATGCCTGCATCTTCATAGAACAATGTATCAACAAGTCACGTGTGTGAGGACTCCTAGCTGTTGGTGTATGAACTGCAGAAAATGTGTACCTGACTTGTACATGTATGTTGAAAAAGCTGTACTACATTTCATGTCAGTTGAGAAATCATGCACACTAAAAAGACTCTGGGTCTCTTCAACTTCAAGAAACCTGTAATGTACTTAAGATGGAAAAGACATATTATGTCTATTGCTATGTACTGCTCTGGAGTAGTGTTGTACACTTTGTAGCTCTTGGAAAGTATGATGAACAATGTACATATATAGTGGCCTGAGTACTTGATTGTAGTGTTTGCTGCTACATCGCTTGTATACATAAGCTGGGCGAGTTCATTGTTCAAGTAGAGGGGTGGAAAGGTTCCTTGTAGAATTTGATTTAGTAGGAACACACTGCTTTTAGTATCATGAAGGAAAATTGGTCTGTAAAATTCCAGAATTCATTAATTTGGCAAGATTTGTACGTAAAAAAAGTTTGGAACGCTTTCCACCCCCTGCTAGATTGTTGTTATGCCAACTGTGTTGGCCATCCTTATTACACCACCTGCAGGAAAGTGGTACAATCCGAACATGAGTCCTTTTGAAAAGTAGATAATAAAGGGTTTCAGCAAGCTGTATAATTATGTAATGTATTGAGGGCATGGTATTTGGTCGGCAAAACTGTCTGGTTTGATTAGAGTAGTCAGCTAACAAATACAGCCTGGGAGGGCTTAGGTACAATTCTTATTGCATTTTTTTCTCCAGTCCTTTTTTTTCTAATCTAATAATTTGTAAAATGCTGCAGCATGCGTTCTTACCAATAAGTATGGTGTGTATTAACAAACAAAATGAGGGATGAATGAGAATGATTTAGCTTGGAATGACAGATTTTTACAAAATGGACAGATACTGGCTTTGTCTTTCTCTCAGCATAGAATTTTCTGGAATTGGATAGAAGTAAACTTAAAGAAATAAACTTACTGTGTTGGAAGAAGAACATGTGTTGACTGGGTGAATGTTTACCTCTTCAGATTCTGTAGTTCATGTAGCAATGGTTAGGGGGCATAGTGTAGCCGTAGAGCACTGAGACTTTTTTTCATCCCAAGAACAATTTCATATCTTCATCATTACTTCATTAGAATGTATCTCTTCAACAGTTTCAATGCAGTACACGTACTTCATTCAGAATGTGTTACTAAATGCATTGAGTGTTGCTATTCTTGAACCTGAACTTGCCAGTGACAATAATGAGTATGGAAGGCTGTGATTTTGACATTGGCATTGGCTTTGAGCATCCTGTTTTGGCTTGGCATATATTATCAGTCATCTGCATACTAAATTGGGTACAAACAGATGAAAATCTGGAAATGTTATATTTCTGTGAGCTTTCTAAAACAGTTGAAACTGCTATGAATTGTTGGCATGTCACTTTCCTAATATTCCCAGGCCTGTTTCAGAAGTTTAAACACTTAACCTTCTTGCGGAAAACTGTGTGAGACTGTTTCTCACTGGGTAAATGTTGTGTAGCAAGTTGTGATCCTCAGTAAAATACAATATAAGACCCTACATCCTCAACATTGAATACATTGTGTGCTCTCCATATACATGTATTACAACACTGTAAAGATGGACAAAGATCTTCCCTCTGCTGTAAGATTGAAAGCTTGTCTTGAGAGATTTGTTACACTGGTGATGATTGGCTAGTTTGTGCGAGATTCCCACTGTTAACACACATTTGTTGACCAATCAGCCCGACCGTTACAGTGTATGTCTGTCCAAACAACTTCTAATACTTTGTGTGGTCAATACAATCACAAAGATAGCATATATATAGCAACATCCCAACATATAGCCTCGTGTGATTATGTTTTCTTCATACATGTAACATTAAAAATCATGTTGACAGTTATGTAATGCCATTTCATTTGGACTGCGTTTTAAGGTACAATTTTGTTAGATTTCTTTTTTAGTGTTGCCAGGTGTTTTTGTCCTACCTTGTATCCAACTGTACAGGCCACAATAAAACTCTGTCCAGAATGTGCTGGTGTTGTAGTGTTTTATTAATTCCGTGGTTAATATTTTCCAAGAACAAAGAGGCAAATGCAACTGATATATTTTAATATTGTGACAGTAGTAAAGATGCCGAACAGGTAGCTCAGAAAGTGACCGTTGTTGCGGTTGTAGCGTTTGGCACGGTGATGTTACTGGCGTTACAGACGGGCCAGCTCGGGACCCACTCCGGGAACGAGTGGACGCCGTAGACAGGGATGCCTAGGGTGTTGATGAAGACCAGCAGCACCAACAGACACGAGATGTTCATGGCCAGGCCTGCTTTGGCCTGTGTGTCAAGGGGGTAAAGGCAAAATATTTATGTATTAGAACTTTAACGTATCTCTCTATTTGACCGATTTCTACTCTTTCCAGTCGTCTCCCGAATCCTCGTAGAGTCTACTCAAACTTACTTACTCAACCTAACTCACCATGTCCGGGACCGTCAGTTTCCCGTAGCCAAAGACGATGGCGTTTGGCGGCGTTGCCACGGGCAACATGAAGGCGAAGGAGGCCGCAATGCCTGCTGGGACCATCAGGAAGTACGGGTTCACACAGAGTGCTTCGGCCTGGAGAGAACGGTGTAAATGACGAAATTTCCTGAACGAACACATATTTATACTAGAAAGGTAACTTTTGCAAAGCAAATGCATATTGCTTAACTTCATATGGTCTATAGCTACCATGTAGCCCAGCAAACTCTGTTTATTCTTACTAAAGCATATTCAAATAATGAAGTCCAACTCCTCATGTCCCATTATGTGGCAAGTTGTCCTGCAACTTGCCACATAATGTAACGCAACACCACAGGGTGTCTGCTACAGCACCAGGCCAGTTACCATGGTGACAGACGTCTGGTCAAGGTCATTAAAACTACCATTTTAGCTACTTTCATACCACTGCTGCTATGTTTGTGCAATTGCGACGTTGAATTGCTCTCACCATTTTTGCCAGGATAGGGAGGAATATACTGGCGGAAGCCGTGTTACTCGCCACCTCCGTGAACAGAGCAATGAAGACGCAGACCAGCACACAGATGGCCCAACCTGGCACCCCCTCCAGCCGAGTGAACTGTTCCGCCAGCCAGGTAGACAAGCCTGATACCTGGTTAAACGGGACAGTGTGAATCTCCAAGCAGATACGGGAGTGGAAAAATTGGTAAGTTTTCTGTCTAGCTGCTGCGTTTTTTTTACACGCAACCATCTAATCCGGATACTGCAGCTAGGGGAAAAATTGGTAAGTTTTCTGTCTAGCTGCTGCGTTTTTTTACACGCGCAACCATCTCATCCGAACATCTACTTGGAGATTATAACAATATAGTGACACTGATATAGAATGTGCGAGCCCCATTGCGAGACGCGTAATAGAACTTCATTGTAAAGACGAACCAATAACTTAAAAGGTTCTTCATATAGAGAACTACAGTGATGTGGTAGAAGTTGTAAAGTGTGCTTGAAGCAAAACAAGGAGGTTTTCATTCATGAAGCTAAGTAGTACTGCGTAGAGCATACGTAGAGCACAAGTAAAAGATCTTTACCTGAAAGTCTATGTGATGCGCAAAGATTTTTTCTTACCCCAACCCCGTCGGCAAGTGCGAAACCACCCCCAAGCAAAAGTAGAACGTTCCACGGCATTTTTTCGTGCACAGACCGCCAGTCTAGTAAAGCTGGTACGGGTCCGGGGCTGGCTTTGTCTGTGGTACATACAAATACAATCTACTAGCACGAAACTCCACAAAAATTAGTGCTTTTAAAAATTGTCTCAAGCAATACTAATAAGCAAAGTTGCATTAATAAAATAGTCCCGAGTTCGAATCCTGCTATGCCACCGATCTTTTGCCCCTAGGAAAGGCATTTTACAAAGATGTTCCTCACTTAATTCAGGTGAAAATGAGCAGACTGTCTTATTGTATTGTCATCTGCGTTGGTAACGGCATGAAAATAAGTTGAAAAGACTTCAAGTGTGCTGTCACCACATCTTGTATTAAATGTTTGAATACAAAGAAAGTAGCACGACCTGATTCTCGCTTGCAGCACAGGAACCTCGGTGGTTTGGATGGAAAGAAAAACAGCGCGAAGGACACCATAACTGCCGGTGTACTGTCGGTCACGTATCTGTATGTACGGTAGAAATACATCATTTTAAACAGCGACATCACAAAAATACATGTAGACCAACAAATGCCTCTATCCACACTTGACAAGCAAAATAGAGACATTTTGATTTTATGATGTTAGAATGCGACATTCCTGTTGATACGTAGTATGTCGCTATGATTTCTCTATTCCAAATATTGGCTGATCTATGTGTGCCATAGTATGTTCGGCAACAGTTTGTAAGATTGGTGATATTTTTCTCGACCACCTTGACAAGACGACGACAAAATCGAAAACCTGCAACCTAAAAGGAACAACTTATGTTATGCACATGATTTTTTCTGGGGCGTACTTTTTTCTAAAGAAGTATGTCCACCCCGCCACCCTGCCGTTCTCAAGCTTCACGAAGCTGAGGTCTCGGAAGAACCAGAGAAGGACGAGCAAGATGAAATGGAACAGGACGGCTTTCTCCGCAAACCTGGAAAGATAGGAAAGTAGAGCCGTCAATGCTAACCTGTAAAAGGAGCCCATAAAAGCTCACTAAAACATTTACATATATATATATCACTGTTTCTCTCCTAATTTTCCTTTGCGTTCATTATAAAACTTCCACAACTGCTAAGAAATATGCACACACAGAGAAATGTTCTATTATCCAATTTCAGTATTCCAAGTTAACACTCACGTCATGTTTCCAAGATCGTTATAAGCTTTCCGGATGACTCCCTGAGCGCTGTGGCTTTTCTTTGCCTGGCACCAGACTCTGCAATGGTTTAATATAAACGAAAACAAACTCGTCGAAGAGGATCAGTTACGTAACATTAACAGTTCAAAGTTTAATTCATCAATCTTGTTTTCAAAGGTAGAATCACGTACCTCCAAATTTTCGATGTCCACTGTTCATCTTGATCACGGAGTTAGCTAGTCTCGCGAGAACACTACGTGATCAAGATGTACAGTATAGACATCGAAAATTTGACTGCAATGTCACTGCAAATATAAACATGGTTTGAATATCGCAGCCAGCAAACATAACAAACGTTACGTCGCAGTACCAAAAAAAATAATCTCCTATACTTTTGTAATGCATTTGATTTTGTCTTTTTTATGTAGAATCTGTACTATTTATACTTCAAGCTGGCAAAAACAATTTAAAAATGGTAAAAGGTACAAAGGTAAAATTTCGCTACCTGCATCCTAAAAAGATGACGATGAGCCATGACCAGGCGAGAAACAGACAGAGGACGGAGACCGGGAACCCGAAGAAGAACCACGTCGCGAAGTCAATCCCGGGGCTGTCGGGAAACGCGCTAAAACACATTCGTCGTGACATCTTTTTTAGTGATTTTCTTCAGCACAAATAAGCCTAAAGAACAAGAAATAGTCATGCCTTCAAGTTCCTGAGTTATCAACCAAGGATTGAGGTGTTCAAAAACTAATTCGTTCCTTGATCTATTAGGTGTGAGACCGAGGAGCGGTTATACGTCCGGCTAAAGAGACACAGATCTATACAGAAAAATTCATCAAAGCTCACATTTGCACCTGCTCAGCGACGATGATGTTTGTAGGAGTCCCCGGAAGCGTGGCGATGCCGCCGATGTTAGCGGCGTACGCAACACACAGCAACATGGCCTTCCTCATCTTCAGTTGGCGGACTGTCTCATTCTCCGTCCCAACAGATTTGTCATCCTGTGCACACCCGTGAATAGTTTCATCAGATTGGTAAGTCACTGAATAAAGAGACTCCAGAGGTCTATTCGGCCGACGCTTTGGTGACCGCCTGTCACCTTCCTCAGGACAATGCAGGGCAATTGCCCTGAGAAGGTGACAGACGGTCACCGAAACGTAGGCTGAATGAAACTCTTGCTTGTGTAAAAAGAGACTCTTTATTCACATTTTCCTGTGCACACATGATATCTTGCCGTACATCCCTCTCTGTTCAATTGGTAGGGATGATTTTGTACAATAAAAGAATATGGCGATGAACAAAAAAGAAGTGACGGAAAAAACAGTCTTATGTGTCTATAAACGGTTACACTTACCATTTGAAGATCTACCGACAAGTGAGATTCGTCCTGAGGTCTGGTATGAAAAAAAAAAACGAATAGCGGTTATAGAAGACCCTGCATTTAGTCAACAATAGATCAATAGGTTTCCTATTGGACTAAACACGGCTTATCGTTGTATACATTTTATCAACCTATCTATATTGGAAAGCTATACACTCATCCTGGCCTAGATTTACGAAAGGTATTGTAAAGTACGAAAGTTTTACTTACTGAACAGTCACCTCCATAACCGACCCATAGGTATTCGACTGGTGTTCATTCTCCAATGTTGGACTTGGAACAATATGATGATTGTTTTCTATATCTTCGTCTGTTAAAAAATGGTTAGTTAGTGGTTAGTTTTACTTGAATAATGTACAGTATTTACAGGTTTATTGTGCCAGGAAAATTCCCCTAGCTCTTTCCGACAAGCACAATGAACAGTGGACCACAGCTTAATGTCCCGTCCAAGGGACTGTGACCCTTTCCAGTAGCGTGCATGTCGGGTGAGCGACAACAGCCAGGATTCGAACTCCCAACCGCTGACACCATTGGACTATGGAAAGTAGAGCGTAACATTGTACCATGATTACTACCAACACAAATGAACTTCCATAGTACCGGCGATTATTAACGGAGAACACTCGTCCTCAGTCTCCTCCTGAAGCCGCCGTCTCTCTTCGCTGAAGAGCTGGTCCAGCACGGCCTGGCCGATGGGCGTCATCATGGCGGCGGCCGCCGTGTTACTGATCCACATCGACAGCAAACCTGTGGCGGCCATGAACCCAAACATCACCCTGCAAAACGAATCAATCAATCAATCAATCAATCAATCAATCAATCAATCAATCAATCAATCAATCAATCAATCAATCAATCAATAAATCAATCAATGGATCGATCCTCAAAGTCTTGGGGAGTGTCAAGCCCTTTGATTCCACTGACGGCCGATCATATCGTACTAGATAGGTCTTAGACTCACCACTGCAGTTCGGACCCGACCAGCAGCAGGATCCTGAGCGCGATCCTGGAGTGCAGGTTACACTTTTCCACCGCGATAGCCACCAGCAGGCCTCCCAGCAGCAGAACCGAGTTGTCCTACGGAAACACGTGTTTGCCTGAGATATTATTTCGGCTCTTTCATAATTTTGCAATCGGTACCGGATAGTTCTTGTAAACTTTGTAACTTTATTGCGATACCACATCCCAGACTTACGTCTGAATTGCTTATAAGTGTATTTACAATCAATGTGTTGTATTTTCAATACATAAGAACGATAAACATCCCTTGGTTATTTTGACATCACATATGTGTCCCCGACACAACATATATAACGTTATATCGAAAAGAATCAAGAAAACAATAAGACAGCGAGAACAATAAGGATAAGGATGATGATCGATGATGCCTTTTGAGTCCTAGTTTCTCAGACACGTACATATTGAGAATTGTGCTAGGATTTTTAAACACTCTCTGATAAAGAAAGCCCCTCAGACTGATATTTCGTGGCCTCAGCAACGCGAGTCTAACTTTTTACCTTCAAGTAGTTCAGACAGACTTCTGATGATGGCTGGATGCCCATCACCGGGAAGAGGATCATGGGAAGGAGTGCCGTCACGGCCAATGGCACCACTTCGAACATCCAGTAAGCCGCCATGATGATGATGACGTAGGCACATGCTGCTGGCTATTGATAAAACCAACCAACCAATCAATCAATCAATCAATCAATCAATCAATCAATCAATCAATCAATCAATCAATCAATCAATCAATCAATCAATCAATCGATTGATCAACATGTATATATAAATCAATAGCACTCTGACACATAACGCAGTGTCACAAATAGTCATATTCTATGCAATCTGTGGTGATTCATATATGCATAGCAATGATGTAAGATATTGGAACAAAAGAGTATTGCAAAAACGACTCTTAACAGTCCGTGTATTAAAGAAAAACTCGCTGTTCAGTGCCAAAACTGTCCCTATCCACATAATAAACATTGTACCCTCTTGAGACAACAGGACGATATCAGACACCATAACATGTCACAGCCTACTAGACGAAACGACTCTAGAAATGGCGCTATCATTTGGCAAGGGAAATCTGTCATCTTTACATCTGTGTTTCCCAGTCTTACAAGTTGAAGCATTACTTGGTCTGATGATACCCACCATGTAAAATTCTGTCCACGCATAGGTGATCGGCAGGGGGCAGGCTGCGATCGGCACCAACCAAAACACTACCGAGGTCTTAAAAGAAAACAGCTCTCTTAACGTTGCCTTACACCCCATCTTCGTGTATTTGCGATGTCCAAATGGTCATAAGACATATTAACGTACAGTTGAACATGGCTTCTTTTCATACTGCACTTCGGGCAGTAGTGGTTGATTAAACAACCGGCCACAACACCTGCGCGTGACCTGTAAAGCAAACATTACCTATGGTGCAAAGGTTAGATTGTGTCATTGTGCTTTTATCACATAGGGGGTGTGGGGTTTATCAATAAAAACGACCACAGGGTAGTCAGGAAAGTTAATGTAAATGAAAAACGGCAATGAAACGCAAGAAAGTATGTGCCATGCACCTATTTTGCGGCCCAGAAAGAGGAAAGGACCGTAACAATGTTTCTTTTTTCTCATTATCTACAAAACTAGCCTGGGCACCATCCTGGTTAGTTCACGTCTGTTCTGATATAATCTCCAAGATCTTTCGGTTGATGCAAAGACAGTATCACATTATTTTTTTATCCAGGCAGTATCCATTTGCCAGACAGTTACGTACCATCATACCATTTCCCCCAGGCTGGCATAAAAATGATTACCAGAGTCCGACAAAAATGACTAGAAATACGCCCAAAATAGCCAAAATATTTAACCTGCTTGGTGAGTTATTAGCTCTGATAGTCGTTCCCCACGTTGGTAACGACTTTCGTATAGCAGTCGTAAACTAACCAGAATGGTACCCAGGCTGCTACAAAAATGTAGACAAAACGGCATCGACAATTATGCTGACTCAGTAATTTTGTCGGGCTAAAAAACCGATGTTTTAGGCCGTAAACTACACTTAAGCCGAAATATGAAATTGCCGAGGTGAAGATGAGCTACACCTAGCGTGATGAGCCGGTACTGCAACCTGATACACCTGAGCCACGCCCACTGCGGTGTCCCACTTACCCGTCATGCCCCTGGGATCCTGACAGGGGCGTGGCCGTTGCTAAGCGACACTAAGCGCACCTGTTAGACGCCGTCGCGGAGAAAGTTCACGTTTAAAACGTCATCGCCAGACCGAATGATTTAAGGGGGACGTTCCAAAACCACCCAAGCGACGTACTTTGAGCTGCAGAGCGTACAAACCCAGGACTTTTTGATGATAGCGATCTGACGACCAAAACACTGGAACAATAGCGGTAACAACATTGCGTGCAGCCGGAAGTGCTGCGCTGCAGCACGCATGGACCGGCTTGGAGAACCCTAAATCAGGTAGGTAAGACATTTTACGATCAGTAATTGTTAGAGTATATACTCGACAGTGTGTGTCGATGCTTTATGATTCTCAGCGTTTGTTCAACGTTGTATACAGGCCAACAGACGAGCTAGAAAAGGGCACAATCATACTGCACATGGCTTCTATTGTGTTTAATTGAGTCATATGGTGAGCTATGGCGCTAGCTGAAGTGTTGTTTGGATAAGACTTCATTATTGTGCAGTACACTTGTCGGGTGGCAATTTATGAAGATCAGATTACCGTGACTGTAGTAGCTTTAAATAACGTTAAAAGTTGTTACCCTGCCAAAGAGAGTTTCCTATATTAGACATTTATCAAGTTATCTTATCATGAATGGTAAGATTGAACAAAGTGAACCACACACAAAGATTGGTTAATTATCAATGTTTGGGTAAACAACATAATTTGTTTTGGACCTGAAAATTATATCACAATATGTGGGATTAATTGCAATTCAAATGTACTACTAAGTAACATTGTTTAAACCCTCTAGTCAAAGGTCTTTCCAATACCATGTAAGACAATCAGATCAGTGTTTCCAGTTGGCTTGTACATTAATTTTGGCTTTCATGCAGTGGACCAAACAATGTTCTTTGGTTTCAAATAAATATTCAAGTATAACACTAATTTGGTGTCTGGCATGACTAACTAGAAATGCTTTTTCTGGGCAGTTATTTTTTATGCACTGTATGCAATGTATGCAAGGTTTCTTCCTGGTCTATCTAAATCTATTTTTTTACGACGAAACGTTTTCTGAAATAGCTAAACTTCCAAGGTTGTTAGAGTACCATTCTATAGGAATCGAAACAAATTTGAGTTAGATTTGTGTCAAATTTGACCCCAGAACATGCCCCAAACACTGAATCACTCCCGAATGATTACAAATCAGCCAACCATGTCCAAATCACTCGATTAACCCCTGAATGTTTTAAACATTTTGAAACAGCTGACCTCGCCAAACACCAGCCAACTTTGTGCCAACCTACATTGTAATGTATTCCCAACTATTTTTGGTGAACGTTCTGTGAATGTTGGGAGGCCATTTTGTGAATGTGTGACAGGTCTTTCAGACTCATCATCAGGCTATGGTTGTATGCCTGGTTACACCTTTGAAAGCTAAACCAACTAGACTTACCCCGTAATCAAATTAGCTTCCGTTGCCTTTTAGTTGGAAGTTAAAAGTTACAATTATATATAATGCATGCCCAAAATATCATTCTGTACCCTTATCTTATCTTAAATCACTCTTACTTGTTGCCGTGATGTGTTCGTGACTGTGTGTTTTTAAAGATTAAGAACATGGTGGCATTCAATGTTATCCCGTGGTCATGCCTCAGACTAAAGAAAGGTGTGACAAATCTCTGTTTGGTACACTCACCATTGACTACTCAAACAACACAGGTACACTCTTTGACTGCTTAAACAAATAAGACAGAAACCCAGAGAAAACTCAGTGTAACAGCCTTGTCATACTACAGATTACACATCATAATCCTGCTTAGATTCTACCTGAAGTGTTTCACCTGTCACCTTCAAGAAATATGATACTTCAGATGTGTACTTAAAGCTCTGAGGGCTATACATTGTACCTGTCACTGTTGTTTGCAAGAAATTTTTTTGTTTAGTTTTTTTTTTCTTTGGACCGGCCATACTAATAGATTCTCCCTGAAGTGTTTCCCTAATTTTGCCAGTCACTTTCAAGAAATATGATACTTCACATGTGTGCCTAACTCTGTCAGGGCTATAACGTTACCTGTCATTATTGTCTGTCAAGAATTTGCTTTGTTTAGTTTGTTTTTCGGTGGACCGCAGCCATTTTAACTACAAAACTGAGTACTGTCATCATAAACCTACTAATAGATTCTTCCTGAAGTTGTTCCCTAATGTCACCTGTCACTTTCAAGAAATATGATACTTCACATGTGTGCCTTAAACTCTAAGGGCCTGCTCAGGTATACCTGTCATCATTGTTTGTCAAGAATTTGTTTTGTTTAGTTTGTTTTTTCTGTGGGCTGACAATTACGTAGGAGGGTTAGAAGGTCACCATAGGTCATAGAAGGTCGTCCCATCTATTATTCAGTAAAAACCTGATGTTAGGCGTGTCACGTAGCAGGATTGACAGTAGAACTGGCGATAAGGGGGATTTTTGTCCATTCTAACCTAATTTTTTCCTTATCGCAAATGAGAAATCAGTGTTTAATGTCGTTGGGTAATGACGGGTCGATGGGAGTTTTGCCGCAGATATCGAATCTACATTTGGGTGCAGACAAATTAAGGTTCGGCTGTAGAAGTCGTACTTATCTATTCAACTGGACCTGAAAGGTGAGAATCCAAGTTTAGAGAACTTTTGTGCTGTGTAATACTTGTAGTGAAGATCATAGTTAAATGTCATTGTTGTCAGCAATAGGTGACATGAGGTATGGTATACCTGAGATATGGCTGTACTGAATAGCAGGCTATTTTTCTGCTTATGTCATGTAACTAAAAAAAGATTTTGTCACCTACATTGTAACAATCATGTTATTTGGGCCCAGGTGTAAATGGCAGTCCCGTGATTGTTAAAAACTAAATGTCCACAAAAGATTATGTTTCCTTGCTTTAGTTTATAGCTTACTTGATACTTACTTAATTATAGTTTTTTTAACTGAAAACAATATAATTCAGATATTTTTTATCTTCCCATGTTTAACTGTTCTTCACAGAATGATATTTGAGATGAACTAAAATTGTCTGATATGAAATTTCAAACACTCTGTTTCGCTTGCCATAATCTAGACTGTTCACCAATGATGAATTACAGTCTAGTACTCAGACAGATGATGATGATTTTAGATAATATTTTACCATTAGAAGCATTAGATTCTTTGCAACTCATTGATGAGCTAAATGAATTGAAATTACCAGATTTCGTCATTATTTTATGAAACACAGAGAAAAGTAAGTCCTCTTGCAAGCTTTTTTTTCAGCTTTGTTTCACGAAGCAATCTCATAAAAACAGAATCTGATCCTGTAATGGATATTTTCATGAATCTAATATAAAAATGCACCAAATACATCACGTGAAGATCAAGCTGATAAGAATTGTGTTTGTAATGGCTTAGATTGGATTAAATATCACGATGGAGCACTTAGGGGGCAGACCATCTCAGGACCTTACTAGATAAATGTCAATGTCCACTCTATCGATAGGTCGTGTAAAAGGAGGACAGACAGAAAAATAATTTGAAAATACTGTAAATCACTTTATATTTGCTGTAGGATGCGGTATGTTCCCAGAGCCATAAGAAAGTAGCCTGGGTACCATCCGGATTTTCGCTACGCAACTCCCGAAAAAATCACGTCTGGGACCGCTTGCATTCGTGATTTTTTCGAGCGTTGCATAGCGAAAATCTGGATGGTACCCAGGCTAATAAGAAAGGTGAAGAAAGAAAGTCGGCGAATTAATATGTGTTCTCGGTCATGATGTTGTTGATGTCATGATGAATTCACTTTACACAAGTGACCGCAAAAACCACGAAATTCAATGTAAAAGTACCATGAAATCATATATAGTATTTTACAGTATTGTATAGTCTATGATAAATGAGTCCTGCACTAGCTCGCACTAATTGTTCAAACTGAATTATTGATAATTCAGATGTGACATCTTGGAACACTGTCTGACTGCAGTCTGGTCTGTTTCAAACTTATAATCTGCCATCGGGACTAAATCCTGATGCCAGCATGGGACTGTCCATTAATATATCATATGGGCCATTGGTTCAATATCTTTTTCCAAGCGTGTTTTCTTGCAGTGTATGTGCGTCATCTCTCCAATTAAGACTTTCTGTTGAGTCCTCTTCTCTAAATGATATGGTAAAATTCTCAACCCATCTTATAGCTGCTTTGTCAAATAAACACTGTATCAGATTCTATAATTCAGCCATTTGTGCTGCAAGTGTTTTTGAAAAATATTAACCATTCTCTCTCTATCTCTATCTCTCATCGTCTTAACACATACCTTCAGATAGCTAATTGTCAAATACATGAGATTTGATGGGTAAACTTTCACAGTAATATCATAAAGAGCATTATCGTTTTCTCAAATTTCAATGAAATATTTATGCGGATGACAATCTTCAAAAAAGACTGGTGTTGGGTTACATAATGTTGCAATTTAATGGTCTGCTCTGCTCTGCTTATTTCACCTAATACTAAGTAACATGTGTTTGAGTAAGGATTAACAGAGCAGACCATGTCCGAAGGTAAACATTATGCTTTGCAAATGTTACTCCTCTAGTTTGTAGTATGTATCTGCATTCATTATATTATCAACAGGTCACTATATGATATAGATAAAATTATTTTGTAGATAACTTTTAGATCTAACTTAAGAGATGTTTGCTTTTTTGCTGACTTGAACTGTCTTCAATTTTTTTCAGACCAATTTTTGTAGTCTGAAAGCTTAATTGAAGGATAAACGAGAAGACAAGGCAAACCATCAACATGATGAAAAAGTAAGTTTTTGGTTTTATGATTAATAAGGCCACACCAATTTAATTTGTTGCTTCTCGGATTTTTTCAGAAAAAATCAGGAGCGACAGGGCGAAAAAAAAAAGCCAAGGCACTCCATGATAGCCAGAAATGTTACAATATGAGCCATGAAGTGAACATACCAGGCTGGTTTATAATTAAAACAATAGATTTTGAACTTTTATAAAAGTTTTAATGAAACAAAATTGCATTGTTACATTGAAAAACTTAAGAACTAGGAAGAAAAGGACTTTTTTCAACTGTTGGGGACGAAACATGTCTTTCAGTAAGCATTTTGCAGTTAATTTAGAACCCCACAAAATTTTTTTTTTTCTGCAAATCAGAAAAAAATGGAGCGGGCAAATCCGAGAAGCAACAAATTAAATTGGCATGGCCTAAGGATGCTTTGACAAGCTTTGTGGGGCTAGACCAATAGCACAGTGCACCTTTTGCTTTTGATTTAATAGCTATGTTTATGTTTAGATGGAGCACTGTATAATAATCCAGTGCATTACAATTTAGATATCTATTTAATTGTTTGTAATTAGTAAACCAGCCTGGACTTTCAATGTGGTAGGCTTTGTTAAACAGTTGTAAACTTACATGATGGATGCGTTATATTGTTCCAGGGGAAAGAAGAAGGCACCTTCAAAGGGCAAGAAGAAAGCCGGGCCACTTGTGACAGAGGAGGAATTTTTATTCGCACAGCAAGAGTTGAACACTCTACAAACCTCAAACATCGAATCGGAATTTGGTTATCAGGATGACGAAGCCCCAGACCTCGCATTCCAGGCTGCTCCTCGGATCTCCAGAGTGTCCAGTATGGCCCCACAGAGAAAAAGTATGGCCCCACAGAAACAAAGTAATGCGGCTCCACCTCTCAGAAAAATCCAGGTTTGTTATATCTTAATATTTATTAGACCGGTGCAATAGCTCAATTGGTAGAGTGCTCGCTTTGTAACCGGGAGGTCGTGAGTTCACACTTCTTTCTCTGCTTAGCACTCAGCACATATGATAAAGAGTGTTGGAAGGTCAAACACACAGCACTACCAGCGGACTAGCCCCCTGCTGTAGTGCCCTGCACAACTGTGTGTCACCCAAGAGCTACAGAAATGGAGATGGGCACCAAACCCAGTGCTCTGCATAGAGCATGTATTTATTGGGTGGTACCTTCAAAGTTTAGCACTGCACTTATGATAATAAACTGCATTCCTCCTGTAGTCTCTTAGTGTCACTGACAAAAGGTAGTGGATACTACCTGAAACGTCTGACTGTTTCCAAAATCATATCCAGTTGCTTGAGTAACTGTTTTTTGGTGTATCTTATTACCTGGATGTCTAACCTTCACCGACGTATCAAAGTTAACAATCTATTTTGTTTATTCCTGACA